GTGCAGAGCAATATGTGACCAAGCTTGTATAGAGGTTTTACTGTCACTGGCACATATTAGCCTTGGGTTTCAACCTGTTTGTAGTTTGTAGTTCCAGAGCTGCTTCCTAGCATTACTGCTCGGGATTCTGAAGATGTGGGATTACCACATGGTTCTGTGATTGCTGAGGGAAAAAACACCTAGTTTTAAAAGAAAAAAGTCCAAGTCACAAGTTAGTAGAAATTAGAGACTAACATTAAAAGTGTACCCCAGATATGTCAATAGAGAGCAGACTATAACATTCTTGTCAGCTCGTTTTTGCCTTTTAACATTTTAGTGTGTTGTTTATGAATGCAGGTAAGTGAGACGGAGAGGTGATTTGACAAATACTGGGGATTTGACAAGTACCATACCTCAGCAGGGAACAGTCCACTGGTATATGAGATCTGATGTCTTCATCATCTCCAAAGGGCTTTTCATTCTGAATAACGAGTAACACATTTCTCACAGGTGACAGAAAAGGTGCAACGCTAAAGAGGAATTTCAGTGATTAAGAGCTGACCTGAAAAATGGATGTAGAGTTGATACTTCGAATATAGAAGCCGACATGAAAAAAAAAGGAATAGGAACACCATGAGAATAAAAAACAACACTGAAGTCAAGGCTGGCATTGCTTGTGGAACAGATGGAAGAGGTGGTAGAGGAAAAGCGAGAGGATCAAGGCTGGCTATTATAGTCTAAAGCAACAGTCCAACACATTTGAATTAGCTGTGTTCCACAGAGAGAATGGGGAGTAAAATATGAGGGAAAATAACTGTGGAGAGAAGGAGATTCTGATGGCAATGCATTTGAAAACCAGATGGAAATCAGCCAGGAAAGGAAACAGCAAAGAAGAGGAGAAGTAGAAGGTAGGCAGGGGAAAAATTAGGACAGGAATAAGAGATGTATCCCTTGGATCTGAAACAAAGCCATGGAAGTTTTTTATACCACTGGAAGAGAAAGAAAGATATTGCCAGACAAGAATCAGGGATTTAGCACGCATAGTCTAATCTGAAAGTGTTCCTTTTATGTTTTTCCAGAGGCTTAGCAATGTAATTTGCGATAATCTCAGCAGAAAAAAATTGAAGTAATCTATAGCAGATTTTCCACACACATGATTTATTTAGCATATGCTTAAGTGATTTTATTGGCAAAATAAATATAAAATTTTCTGCAAATAGGAAGAATACAAGTAGCTCAATAAAAAAAGTAAATCCCAAATTGCTATAAATTTCTCATAACAGTTAGCTAACATGGTAACAAACTGCACTGTCACAGCTAGTACATAGCAAAGGGAGGTGAAAGCTCTATGATTATTGCCAATTATTTTACATCAGTTACACCAGAAGGGTCATGATGTTGCTTTTTTCATCATCAAAATGATGAAATAGAAGGTAGCTTAAGCTACTCCTTAGAACGTGTCCTCCCCGGGTGTGTGTGCAGTTAATGGGAACGGTACATGTTTGCTAATCAGAACAGGAAGCAGAATGAGCGTGGAAGATCAGGACATACTTTTTATTTTTAAAAAGACTCTTGAGATCCAGAGTGAACATATGGGACTACCCACTTCAAAATAGATTTGGAACTTTCATTTCTATTTCCTCTTTATTTACACTTACTGGTATTTGAAAACGTTCTGTAGGTTTCAAAAATCCAAAGACAATAATCTTTATTGAAGGGAAGTATTTATTGATCAGCCATGGAATCAAAGGATTCATATGTTGGTACAGCATTTTTGCATCCTAATAATTCTGCACATTTTAAGATTTTTTTTTTCATTGAAGAAGATACAGAAAATAATAGTGAATATAAACCCCAAATGTTGATAGAAGTCCAGAAGGCCTACTATAAACATTTAGTCTGAGCTCTTGCCAAAGGCCTTCTCAGAATTTAACTTTTTTCAACTAGGATTTTTAGACGAGTCTGGTTTTAACTGTGCATTCTGCAGGGCTAAGGAATTCATTACACTGCTCAGCATATGACTGCATGGTCACTGATACATTATTAAAACAGCAAAACAAAAGATAAACTTTATTTCTAATCTGAATGTGATGAATATCAGCATTGAACAACTGATTTTTTTTATTCCATCCATCTCCTCGAGTGTTTTGTATTGTCTAAGTTACTTTCCTGAAGCATGTAGTCCATGTCATCAAGCCATTCCTAAACTATTTTTTGGTAAATATATGGAGTGATCGCTAAATATTTCTGGGCACAAGGCAAAAATTTTCAGTTCCTCAGTCTTTTCCAAGTTTCTTTCTGCATCTCATATTCAGCTGATGAAACATATGAACATTTAGTTGAACTGCAGCCACTGTCTCAACCAGGATTGTGCCAGGATGAATTGCAAAGGAAATGTATTCCTGATAAATTTTACTTCTGATTAGCACATATATCAGCTCTTTTTTAACTTCCTCACCACCTTCTGCCTTACATTCAGAATAACCATTGGACAATATTAAATTGTTAAATCAAGTGTAGCTGTGATTCTTTGCAGTAAGTAGTAAACCTCTCTTGGAGTTCTATGGAATCAAGATTAAGCACTTTGGCTTTTCAGGGGTCTGACATCTTATTATTTGATATCTGGACTTCTGTCATCTGCCATTGTTTACATTATTATTGCACTGCTATGTTCCTTTCAACAAGTGATGGATGCTTATTATTAACAGTCTTTCCATTGATGCTTTGTTCACATTCTGAACTAATGCATTTTTATATGAGCTCCTTTCAGAAGAATGCATATAAGAATATAATCTTCTGCTTTCAAGAATACAGCCCTTTCTTACCTCTCACAAGATTCTTTTCCCTTGAGAAATAAGTATTGAATGTGATTCCCAGTAATGCAGTCTGATTTTCTCATGCATAGTGTTAATGAGTATGTCTATTCTTAGTACATGGTCATAAATTACTATCGCCTATAAATTGCTTTTTTCTCCTTTGCCTGCTTGCATCTTTTCGATTAGCATAGGATTGTTATAAAAAGTAGAGAGTTGAAGAAAACTTTTTTTTTGTATTATTGACATTTTTCACTATTACTAAATTCTGATTGAACTATTTCCTTGCTGATTGATCCACCCATGCTGTCCTTTTGTACTTAGTAATTTCAGTTGAAATCTTGTATTTTTCCCTGGCACATCAACAGTGGAATATGGCCACATAGTTTGACTTTTTTTTCCTACATATTTTGATGTGATAATACAAATTTGGAGTAGTACATGCAGGGGAAAAATATGCATTAGAAAATCAACAACCATTATTTCATTTTTATGTTTTACATCACCCAAATCTTTTTTATATTTTAGTTCATTATGCAGCTATAATATATATTGGAAAATATGATTTTTATGTTTTGTTTTAACATGTTAAAGTACAACCTTTAAACTGAGATCTTTGTTTAATTTTAACCTTACTTGTTATACATAAAGGGATGGTTTGGTTCTCAGTGAAAAAAAAAAAAGTATACAATTTATCTGTGCTTCTGTTAAAGATTGGCAGTTTTACACTGAAAAATTTATTAAAAATAAATGTCTGTACATCTCATTGTCTGGGATGCAGTGGGGACTACCTGGATACAAGCTTTCCCCTGACAGCTTAATCTGTTGATTCTCACAGTGACGCTGCCTGCCCCTTTCACAGAATTCAATAGTTGTCTTTACCATGCAGCACAAAATGTGGCTTCTGGGAGAGACTGGGCTGGGGGGAGAGACAGAGGAAGGGCTGTAGCAACTCTGCCATTCCACCCAGATAAGCCCATGGGGGCTTTATGCTTAGGTTGTTAAAGCTTGCTCTCTTTGTCAGGCTCATCTCATTTTGTGGGTGAGAGAGAGAAGATGAGACAAGTACAGAAAAAAAGCTTGTACAGGATTTCCTGGTGAAATGACTCAAATGAAACAAAACTCATCATGAATTAGTGATGAGTAAAGGGCCTCAAATTATCAACTTCCTATGTGTTCAGGATATGTACTCATATTGACATCTGGATACCTGAAGCTTCAACACCCTCCTCCTGGAAAGGAGAATGAAAACAATTTAATAATAATAATAATAATAAAAATAAAAATAAAAATAAAAATAAAAATAAAAAAGGAAGAAAAAAGGGGAAAGGTAATTAATTGCAAGATGAGTATCCTTTTCTATGTGGATACTTCCCATCATTGTTAACTAAATATAAATTAATAAAAAATATGCCAGAAAATTATTACTTAATAGCAAATTCATTGTCATGGTCACAGGAATGCTACACTGCCTTTTCTTCTATAAAAGTGTGTGTGTGGTGCACAGCAACAGACTTCATGCCAAACTGAGAAATGTTAAATTTAGCTTGCAGTAAATAGCATGTCTAGCTAAAACAGCCGGAACCCATCTTGGAAAGGGGGGGAAAAAAATAATAAAAAAATCAGAATAGCTTTAACTCTTTCTGCATATTAACTTCAACGGTTTTGGTACAGCAGCTAAAAAAAAAAAAAAAAATAGAAAAAATGCTTTTCAGGTGTATTTGCAAGGAGGTTCCACACTGGAGAAGGCCGGTGAAATAGATAAATAGATAGATAGATAGATAGATAGATAGATAGATAGATAGATAGATAGATAGATAAGATAGATAGATAAGATAGATAGATAGATAGATAGATAGATAGATAGATAGATAGATAGATAGATAGATAGATAGATAGATAGATAGATGATAGATAGATAAATGAGCGGTCTCGCAGAAGCGAGGCCGCTGTCCGCGGTGCTGGAGGGGCGGGGCGCGGCGCGCAGGGGGCGCGGCGGGCGCGCTCCCGCCAGGGCCGGTTCCGCGCAGGCGCCGCCGCCGCCGCCTCGCCGGGAGCGCCGCCCGCCCGTTGAGTGCGAGGAGCGCGGGCGAGCGCGTGCGAGGGCAGGGCAGGGCCGGGCCGGGCGGCGGGAGCGCAGCGGGCACCGCCGGCATCCCCATCCCGCTCAGCGCCGGAGCCGCCGGCAGCACCGGAGCGGCGGCGGCGGTGGCGGCTCGGACACCGGCTTCTCCCGCACCCGCCGCGGGGCTCTTCTCGTTTCTTCCCTCCCGTGGCTCGCTTGCTCCCGCCGGCCGCTCGCCCGGAGCGCACGGGATCTAATTTGCTGACGAGCGCGCTCCGCGGAGGAGAAGGAGGAGGAGGAGGAGGAAGAAGAAAGGGCTGTTTCCGTGGCTTTGTGGATGCTCTACTTTTCCTGGAAATGCAAAAGATTATGCATATTTCTGTCTTCCTGGCTCCTGTGTTGTGGGGACTGATCTGGGGGGTCAATTCTAACAGCATACAGATCGGTAGGTGCCCGCATTTGGGGGGGACCCCGCTCTCCTCCCGGCGGATCTCCCGAGCCCTCATCCCCGCCGGTGTCACTCGGGCATTC